CTGAGCTTAATATTAGGTACAATATATTGATTCATGTTGACGGAGTTGAAGTTGGCTGAATGACAAAGGTTTAGTATTTCACCAGATACAAAAAAAAATTCTGAGACACAATCGAAAATAAATATATACAAATAATGTCAAAAGATGGATTGCAGACGTTCTAGGGTACAACATGACCCTAGAACCTCATGTATATACTAGTATATACATGAGCTGAATATCTATTTAGACCTGGATGACATTGTGAACTTTATGATCTTTTAGGCTACTTTGTGTTAGCGAGGGCTAGTTGGAATGGTATGGCATGGATTTTTTTTTTCTTTCTAGGATACTGTACAATAAACATAACACCTGCAGTCCCTGAGCCGGTTGTTGTAAAAGTGTGAAATAAAAGTAGATGAATACATGACCATACATTTATCAAACAGAAATTACAAGTTGACCCGAAGGCCTTAGATCCCGTTTACATAGAGATGCTGCAACAGTAAATTTTTAGAGTTGGCTATCAGATTTGTCTTTCACTTAAACGGCAACAATGTTGAAAAACATCCTCCAGAGTGGAACAAAACAGTAATTTCCTTTTTGCTGCTTCTGGTGCTACAGTACAATACATCCATCCATTTTCTGCCCCTTAATCCATTTCTGGGTTGGGGGGGGTTGGGGGTACACATAGCAGCAGCCCCTCACTGATCCTCCTGCAGCTGGTGAGAGTCCACAGGAGAATGGCTTCAGCGGGGACTTCAGGCAAAGTCGGGTTAAGTGTCTTGCCCAAGGACACAACGACAGCAGTCATCAGTGGGAGTCGGTGGAGAAGGTGTAGATGGTGGGCTCGAACCCACGACCTCCAGGCTCGAAGGCCAATGCTCTACCAACTTAGCTATCGGAGTGGCCTTTGGTTTACATAAAGACTGTGTTTCAGGGGGGTGAAAACACAAGCATTGAGAAACAGCCTCGAGAGTGGAACAGAACAGACATGCTGCGCGGAGGGGGGCATTTCACAGCTGTGTGAAGAAAAAGGTGTGAATTCTCCGGCCAGAATGACTTCACCAGTTCCCCGCACGTACATTTGGACATGCACAGTAGCCAACAAAGATAAGATAAGATAAGATAAGATTTGCTTTATTTATCTCACATAGGAGAAATTTACATGTCACGTTTGGCATGGATAGAGACACTCAGATTGTGCAAAGGGAGGAAATGTGCAAACATGTTACATGCAGGATATATGTACAATAAAGTGACAATAATTATGTACAACAAAAGTGACAAGTGTCAATTGGAAACAGTGTCAATAGTAGTGCAGGTTTTCACACAGTGATCATTTAAAGTAACTTATTGTACAGTCTGACAGCGGTGGGGATAAAGGCCCTGCGGTAGCGCTCCTTCCTACACTGAGGGTGCCTCAGTCTTCCACTGAAGGAGCTCCTCAGCTCCTCTACAGTCCTGTGCAGTGGGTGGGAGGTATTGTTCATGATGGAGGTGGCTTTGGCTAGCACCCTCCTGTCCCTCACCTCCTCCACAGAGTCCTAAACAGCAATGGTAGCAGATCAAATAATGCTACATGTGCTTCAAGCGTTACACTGAGGAGAATTCTAGTCCTTCGTTCGTCCAAACGAAACCAGGCGAAGCTGTAGTTTTATGTTTGATTTCTGCAGCTACTGTTAAAAGCAGAATGATGTTGGTACCTTTGCGGTGACCTGAGGAGGATGTTGTTGAGGAAGTGGTTGTAGTGGGCATTCTTATATTCCACTGCCCACTACTGGCTGGAACTAAATTGATTTCTGTCGTCATGTAGACTCCTTGCACTTCGAATCCGGAACGTCGGGTTTGCCCTGCCTTCTCATGCGTGTCCCACGGCAGCCAAAGCAAATGTTTTAAATACTGTGAATTTTTGAAAAAGTTTAAATACTGAAGTATGTGATGTCACTTTTAATGCAATCGAGATGTTGATGGTTCCATGCTGTTATATGTGTGTTTTAAGAGTAAAACGTTTGTGTAAAGTTTGGTTTAAGTACTGGTTTAAGTGCTCCTGTCTCAATACTACGCAGCAGGGTTGCCAGGTTGGGTGGTTTACCGAATACTTTTGTTCCAAGCAACTTGTAGGTAATAAAGAGACAGAAAGACAATAAACAGGATCATGATAGCAGAAGTTGATTGCATTACGTTTAAAGCAAAAAATCATTCTGGGTGAATTTTTTTGTGCATTTTCGTGCGTTTGCGGCTGTTAAAACTTGCGGGTATTTGGCAACACTGCAACGCAGTGAGGTGTCCGTGCTGAAATGTGTGCTTTGAAAACACGTCATTCAAGATTACAGAGTGGTTTATCCAATCAAATACAAGGACTATTTTTTTTTTTTTCAAGGCCCTGTCTTCTGAAATGTATCCGCTATGAAGGAGAACTAGACCCTAGTGTGACGCTTAGCAAACTACAAGGGTTTGGCAGGCTAGCAAAAAGCAGACGTGAGACAGGAAATAAAGCTCCTATTAAAAACTAAGAAAAATTCAGAATGAGTCAAGATGCTCTTTATCTGTGTGCTTACGCTTATACTAACTGCTTTCATCAAGAGGAGAACACACAATGTTTGTAGTGCTTGCAGTTTAAGCACAGCTATGACAAAGGCCCCAGTCTGAAACGTGATGGCGTCCCATTGCCATTTGATAAAAGACGTGTAAATGTATGAGTAAGAAATCTGTATTTATACAGCGCCTTTCACAGACCAGAGTCACAAAGCGCTTTACAAATGCATTTGTCTCTCACTCCACACAGAGACGGGAGACAGATCACCAGTACAGGAGGCACATGCCAGTCCTATTGTACATGTTTTAGTGGCAGGGGAAACCTTTGCAGACAAGGGGAGAACATGCAAACTCCACTCAAAAAGGCCCCATTCCGACTGGGATTGCAAGACCTTCTCAGTCACTGTGTTGCCCAATGAACATCGTATCACCAAAAAAGGGTGATGTCCAAGTGCTGCACACTTCAGGGGAGTTTTTTAAATAGATTTATGTTCTGAACGTGTTGTGATGGTCCGTATACATATTAAAACCATCATTTTTGTTATCTTTTTTATCTACACAAACCCAAACACAAACAAAATTGAGAGACACTGACTTAATCCCATCAACTACAAATGATCAAACACTAAAGTACAGTCCTAGCACTTCACTTGACTAAAATGAAGGACATGCGCGCTCACACTGTATTCCCCAAAGCCTGCGCACGTGTAGTGGCGCTATTACATGGAGAGTACAACATTTTCCACTCAGTCACTTTTACCACACACAAATCCAGTCTAAATAATGAGCTTTAGCGGACAGCTCCAACTGTAAAACTCTCCACAATAATTATTCTCAGGATTAGGGCCGCCATTATCATAATCTGGACATTGACAATTACCTATAATTTGCAAAGATGCGCTTGTGGTTCTTGATTGCAGAGGGCTTTTTCCCCCATCGCTAAACAGTGACAGTAATAACAGCTAATTTTGCAGGCAATATATAAGAGCTTACCGGGCTGTGCAAACACTTCCACCTGGATATCTTTATGCAGCAGCAGCAGCGGGACAAGCAGCTCTGCACACGGCCTGGTGCAAGGTAAGTCAATGAGATTGTCTGATGTATCGAAAGTCACATTGTGAAACTAGTATTGGAGCCTGATTAGGAAACGTATTGGAGATGGAAATGCCTATAGGGAACTGTGTGGAGCAATTTGTATCTATTTTCACTAGGGTTATGGTAGTGGGCTAACAATAGCTTCTCTGAGAGTATTATTTTACTATAGTGGAAAAGCGTGGGTTTTGGATTAGTGAGGAAACTCCAGCAGGAGTGTCAGCATTGAAGTCAGTTTTATGTATGTTTATATATGTAACATATATGTAACAACATTTTTGTATTGTTCTAGTTACAATCTTCAACATATTTTTATTAGTAGTAAAAGGTTTATTTTCCTTATACGCTTATGTTTTTGCAAACAAACTCTTTGCATGTTTTTATAGTGATGCCTCTTATTTGTCACTGCATTTACTGATGATTTTTCAATTACAGAAACCTTACAGTAATGTTACTTATAGTATACTTATAAAAGCGTTACTTTGTACGGCAGGCAATAGAGTTATTCTATATCAAATCTTGGGGTGTCATTAAAAATCCCTTTTACAGTCTTTCAAAAGGCGTGTCATCCCTGGATCCAAATCTTGATCAAGTAAACCGTTTTCTATGTATGGAGATGCGGTTAGACAGCGCTTGTGGCGGTCTGAGTGAATGTCGCGGAGCACTGTCATCTGACAGGGGGAGATAGACATGTCACCTGTACCACATGTCTTCAAAGCACACACTGAAGCGCAGACACATCCACAATATTCACACACATGCGCACACTTATGCACACACGTGCACACACGCACACGCATACACACATGTGCACATACAGGAAGGAGGGGCTTTTATGAGTCATGGGGAGATCCTTCTCCAAAGCAATTATGCCTCTAGAATTTTGGATTGATCGCAACTATGCATCTATTTTTGAAACAAACAGGTTAATACAAGACAAAAAAAAACAAATGTGATTTTAACACTCAAAAAGAGATAAATTACATTCATACATAAGAAAATGTCTCGATTTTAATGATGAAAATAGTTGTATCTTTTAAAGTATATCCTTAAATGGCCACATTCCAGTGCATGATAAAATTTATGTTCAGTGTTGTTGTTCCAGTGATCAAGTAAGCGAATAATTGATACTCGTCGATAATCAAAATATTAGTACAGCCCCCATAGTGTATTCATCCTGCATCCGCTCATCCCGTTCTTGCAAGCTTTGATCCCCTGATCCCCTGATCAAAGCTTGCAAATTCATGAAAATATGTATACTTCCGTATCCTTCCTTCAGGCTTTAGATGAAGTACGTGTTACCTGTATTGCTTTAGAAAAAATAAGATCTTAGACCTCACTTGACGCCTGAAGTCGCCTTGCTTCATGAAAGGAATGAGGTGGGCCTACTTTTATGATTTCGGATGCTTCCCCAGTTGTTTGCGCTCTCTGGTTCTTTCCACGCGGCCAAGCACTCTCTGAGACCGGCTCAGGAAGCCCCTCTCCCCGGCGGGCGTTGCTTCACTCGGGCCCCTGCCTGCCTGCGTGTGTGGGGGCCTCCTCAGCAACATGACAGCTGCATGAGGCTTTTCAGCGCGGTGCAATTTCAGATAATATCCCTCGCGTGAAAGCTCCTCACTCTTCTGAGCAATTTGTATATGAATAAGCGAATAATTTCTCCTTTTGTTCCATCTGTGCTACCTCAAATCCAAATAAAGATGCCTTTTAGTATTAAAAGTGGTTGAAAATTACAGGTAATTATCTTTGACGGTAAAAACGCTGTAATCAGCGGGCTACATCAAAAATTACCCTAATTACGCCTGCATTTATGAGAATGGGAAAAAAGCCTCACTTGGATAAAAACCCACAAATTGTCCCAAATATCTCCTTGGTATTGAACGCGAGTGCAGCTGCCGCTTTGTTCCGCATCGATCCCGGGGAGCTCTGGCGTTAGAGGAGCGAGGAGTTTGTCAATACGCGGGATAATTGAGGGTGAGATGGCGAGGCTGTCCGGAGCGCGGAGCGGGAGAGGTGAGTCCATGTCCTCGGCTTCAGTCTGCTCCTCCGCTGCAGCCGCATCATTAGTGCGGCTGTTGGCCCAATACTGCGGGTAAAAGGCAAAGGGCTGTGAGACCGTATACGGAATGATGTTTGGGGAAGAGTTGGGGATGTCCGTCTGCAGTGGTTCTCAACTGGTGGTTCGGGACCCAACAGTGGGCAGGGGAGTAACGGAATAGTCAGAATACTGTACTTGAGTATAGGCTCACTGTAATCTGGATACAATACCTATTCGATTCGTGGTTGTTAGAATAGTTACTTTTCAAAAATGTATTAAATACATTTGATCATTCAATTGTATATAAGATTACAAAACAGCCTGAGTGAATGTGTGTCACCTCTTTAACAACACTTGGTGAAAATGATCCTATGGTGAGGTTTACATTATGGGCCTATATGACATTATGATCATAAGTTTAAAATATTACAAGTATTTAGAATACAGTGCTCTGCTTGAACCTAGATTTCATACAAAAACGTGTTCAAAGTAGTTTCTTTCCAGTAGTCTGAAACTACATGCATTTTCACACCCTCCCCGCCTGGGAGCCGTAGTCCGTGGGAGCGCATCCCTCTGTCAATGTGGTTTTTGAGTGGCTTCTTGTCGATGCAGGAGGGTCTGAGGGCAGTGATGATTCGGGACATTAAAGGACATGTATGGACATTTGTCATCCTCGTTCCTGCTGCCCAAAGGTGTTTGTTCTTATTGCATTTGCTGTCTTGAACCGCGGTTGATTCTCTGATCTATGTTGTTGGCAAATGGACAACTTTGTGAAGTCCTGCTGAAGTAGAAGGCAACTGTTGTGATTTAGACTATACATAAGAAATTCAATTGGATCAAAATATTTGTTTGTAAAGCATCGTAAATAAATACATTTGAATAAAACTGCATGTTAAAGAATCATTAAGAAAAGTGTAATGCCACAAAAGTTATCTAGAAAGTAAAATGCCCATGAACAATGGCCTTGTATTAAAATAAGCGTTTTTATACATTATGACAAATACACTGAATGGACAAGATCATTTACAAGAAATATTCTTGTAAATTTTCTCATTGACTGATTAAATTATAACTTACTTCACTAATGTAGTTGTTTGAAAATTGTTTTTATCCATTTCCTTGGAGCTATTGTGTTCATACTAGTTTATAAAATAATAATAATAATAATAATAATCATCGACATCATTTGTCAAAACAAACACAAAAAGCAACAGTGTTTAAGTATTTTTTTAAAGTAGTTTCTTGCTTGTATTGCGGTTTGGCGTCATGTTGACTACACATGGCTTTCAACTAAAAGGGAAAAACGTCTTCCTTTTATTGAGTAAAGACATAAAGACATCAGACTATAAATTCTGAGGCAAACATCACAGACAGGCATGTGGTTTGGGGGAAGTCACGGTTTTACTCAATCTGACAAAACATAAAAAGTATATGTACAGCTTCAAAAGGTGTAGATATATACACACACAGAGATATTTGCATGTTGGAGAAACAGAGATGGAGTTTGGCTGCTTGGCTTCAAACCATCTTTTACGCAGCAGGAGAGCAGAGTTGTGTACAAAAGGTCCTCAGGCTCCCCACAGAATATAATCCGAGATTGGCTCCAAAATCTCCCATCTCCAACTCCGTCCGAGACTGTGCGCTACGAAAAAAATGATATCTGGGTGTGTTATAATGACTCGAGTTACAAACATGTCGTCTTGATTTGAGCAGAAGTTAGAATACTAGTGGAGAAAGATTTTTGATGTTGTTCCTTGACAAAAAATAGACATGGAGTTGTTCTTAGCTTCATTTATCGATGCCACTATCAGGGCGTTTCAGCATAGACTCAGCCCCCTCACAGAACCCTCTGTGTTGAATCCATCGTATAGAGTAGCAGAGAAGCATATCATCCCCAAATGAGTTGTGAGCATTTCTCTATCATCACAATATCCTGTGTCAGCTTAAATGTTCACTTTTTAGGACTATCTGTGCCTTGGTGAGCTTTACATTCTAGTTCCTATCAATCAATGGGGACAGGGCTCTCAATTCTGGCCATGTTAGACTGCTGCTGACTGTTCATAACATACAGTATATTTTCTACACAGAGAGATTGTATCAACTATAAACATGTACTCTTGTTCAAGAATCACATTGGCCCAAAATAATCTGTAGGAACCATTCCGAGTCTTCAGCATTGGGGCCCCCTGATCAATCCCTCGGGCCCCACATTAAAAATAACACTTATTTTTCTCTGTGTATTGGAGACAGCTCTGACTGAAATGGGGGGCCATTTCAGGTCCCCCGACTCAGAAATGGATGATTGGATGGACTTTCTTTTGAAACATAGCGTGAGATTATTTAAAGCACATAGTGGATTTAATTTGTAAAATAAATACTTAGGTTTGATTTATTTTCTCAAATGCTTTTTATTTTGACAACCTTTGGAGGGCCTCCTATAGAAGGCCTTTGAGTAACCCCAGGAGGCCCTGGGCCCTACTTTGGGAAACACTTACCTGAAAGCTTATCTAATGGTAGAAGTGGGAAATATTTTTGATAGATTGGATTCAAATAAAATTTTGCGGAAAAACAGTTCTTTCCATGACGACAAGTTTGAAAAAGCAGTATATTGACAGAAGGGGCCAGGGGATGTGTTTGTGCTAGAAATGCTAGAAGATGTTGATATTTGCGTGGATGGAGCTTAAAACAACTCCAGAACAGTCTTGGATGAAGGAACAATGCTGTAATGAGGTTAAAAGCTCAAAAACAGTCTGCCCTAATGGAGAACAGTCTCTGGAACTCACCCAGACATCGTGCCTGCTTCAAAGGCCGCTCTCCAGAGAAAAGCCAACAAAATCACAAAGTCCTGGTGTCCCGCCACATGGTTCTACCTCTGCATGGAGTCGTGATGAGGGGAGGCGTACCAGTGCGAGTAGCCCGTCATGTAGGAGTTAGCGGGTATTGCTTTGGAGGTAACTGCAGAGACGTCCCAGAGAGGAGGGGCGATGGAGGGTGACCGCGGAGACAGGGCCATGGCCGAGCCACCCAGGGCCTCACTCTCGTGGGGGTTGCCGCCTTGCTTCAGGAGCTTCTTGAACTTTGACCGCTTGTTCTGGAACCAGATCTTCACCTGTGAGAGAGCAGGAGTGTCAGGTTAGAGAGAGCAGAGCGGAACAGCCAGGCAGAACCGCTACAAGTGTGTAATGAAGGAGCGACAAGCAGTACACTAATTGTACATGAATTAGAGGAGGTAAATAATGAATAGGTCTGTTTGAGGTCTGGATGAAGGATGTGACGGATAAAGCTTGGGTGCCAAACATTTCTCCCATACATATGTCCCAACAAAAAGAGAATGAGCAATTAGACCACAACTTGTAGTCTTTATCTTACAAAACAAAATATATCTTAAACACAAGTTGATCTACAGATATGACAAAGGACAAAAATGCATGTATGTGACATATTTAGGTCTAATCCTTTTATTTTTAATTCAAAAGTTAGGTACCCTAGCTGTAAGACAATATTTGCAGCCTGACATGCCATTTTGTCCCGGCCAGGAAATGTTTGTACATAAGCCGGAAATGGTTAAAAAAAACGTCACTTTAAATGTGTTGCAAAATATTGATCAAAACAAATGAGTGAGGGTAGATGGGCACACTTGATCTTGAGCACCCCCCCATCTGTTGTAGCCCTGAAATAATTGTAAGATACACTCCAAATAGTTTTTTTTTTTAGACTGGATGGAGTAAGAAAAAGACGTATTTAATATAGTCTATTATCAACTGTTCTCTGTAAACCATTAACGACTTAAAGCTGACGTACCTAATTTTCAAACCAGCAAAATATTATATATATATTGAATTCCATGTACTGGTTTCATCACCAGTTTAAACATGCAAGTATTGTTTGGCTTTCTGTCACATCTTTAGAAAAGTGAAAAATTGAAGAGGAGACAGTATAATGTGGCGTGATTTATTCACAAAATCTGTTGCTGTCGGGAAAACATATGTTGATAATATATTTTGAAGATAATCTGGGCCCCAATGTGGCCCACATGGCAGTTCTCTATGGCGACGCCTCTGAACTCCTCTTCCCTCGCTCATGAGCGTCATCTCCAGTCTCACCTGGGTCTGTGTGAGGCCCAGAGACGCAGCCAGCTCGGCACGCTCGGGAAGGGCCAGGTACTGTGTCTGCTGGAAACGGTGGTTGAGCGCCTGGAGTTGGAGGCTGGAGTAGATGGTTCGTGGTTTCCGGATCTTTTTGCCTTTCCCGTTAAAGCGGATCTCCCCATTCTCTATGACTGTGGTCTTCTGCTGCTCTGCAACAAACACCAAAGTACAAAAGGTTCGGTCTGACGTGATTTCTTACGTACGTGTGTGGAGAATGACAATATCATAAACATTGAAATACTCATAGTACTATTTGGTAAATGAGAGAGTTTTGTGTTAATATTGATCATACATCGTAAATAAAATAATAAAACAAGTAATAATAGCAATAATAGATTATCATTATAACAGCGCATTTCACACACACACAGTCACAAAGCGCTTAACTATTGTATTGTGGGCATTCTCCTCACTCCGCACATGAAGGGTGCGGGTCGCCACAGGAGGCATGCGTCCGGCACGTGTTTGATGAAAAGTTAATCGCGTATATAAGGAGTGAACCTTTACCAGGTTTAATTTTCAAAAGGAATGATATATATAAACTGGTTTGCAGATTTTTGGGGACAAAAATCGATGCATCTTGCTTGCAATAAGTCATTGTAAGTCGTTTTAAATGATATAGGTTGAGAAAGTAAGTAACTACATAATGTATAATGTTAAAATGACAATGAATGTAATTCGCCGGAATGACTGCAATAACTCAAAATGACAGTCCTTTCTCAACAGATAATAACGGGTCTGTGTTGGCTACATTCCACACGTCATATTTAGGATATTGCTGGTATTGACATGTCAATTATATGCTAATTACAACATAGTTCTGTTTAATTCCCACACTGGGCTTTATAAAACCAGCCTTGACTGGAGTTTAAACGCAGGCCGCCTCGCTGTGTCAAATGAGACACGCCGCTTTTTACGCACGTTTTGTTTTATTGGTATCTACTCAAAGAAATTTAACTTTAATCTGGTTTGAACTCAAGTTTATACATTTTCAACTAGTGAATTTAGAATGCATGATTGCATTCAATATGTTTGTTCACACTAAAACTAGCCAAGGACTGACCCACAAAAAGTCTCTTTGTATATGGATTAAACTAGGTTAAAAACCAGAACTGGCAAGTGTGAAAGCACGCATAAAATAAGCAAATTCTTTGAAAACACCATGCGGTGAGACAAAACGACTCAATAAGAAATTGGACTTTGTTGTTTAAAAGTAAAGGATGCCTTTAAACCTGTTCCACATAAAACCTTGAAATACCAGAAGTAACTTTGTCTTTTCTCAAATTTGCAATGTATACACTGTTTATGGGGTGACTGGCGTTGGCTGTAGACACCCCAGCATTCCGCGCGTCATTTTTAGGATATTGCTGGTAATGACACGTCAATTAAATGCTAATTGCAACATTCAGCTCTGCCTAATTTCCACACACTACTACAAGGGCTTCATAAACCCAGACACAGCGCCATATATACAGACAAACCACGGCTTTTACGCACAGCTTCTTAACGCGCACCCCTCTCACCATGCCTATCGGACAATTTGGAGCTTACCTGCGCCATCCAGCCGCGTCTGTCCCGCGCTGCTGCTGTGATACGACGGTAGGTAGGGGCTGTGGTGCGTGCTCACATACGGGTACGCGATGGAGCGTGGGTATGAGTTGGAACCGAATCCACCTGGGCTTTCTTGCTGCTGCGGCTGCTGTTGCTGCTGCTGCGGCTGTGGCTGTTGTTGCTGGTGATGCTGGTGGTGATGGGGGTGGGTGTGCGAGTGCGTGTTGCCCGTGTGGAGGCAGTGTAAAGACGGGTAGTGAGCACCGGGCATCGGGGGAGAACTCTGCTGCGAATGCGATTGTTGTCCGAACTCCATGAACGCGGATTTGGACGTGTCCTGCGTCTCCATTCCCTCAGACATCGTGGTCATGGTCATCATCGAATTTTCTGCCTCGAGAGCAGAGCGCGCACACACCCACACACACACACACACACACACACACACACACACAGACAAACACACACACGCGTGCGTACAATCCTTCTCCCCTTTTCTGTTCTGTGCGTCAAAATATTTCCTCCACAGATTTCGTGTTGTTGTGATTATTATGATCGTCTTTGCTTCTCCTCCACGCGCTCAAACAGGTAGGCCTACAGTTTAGTTGCACGGATTTAAAAGGTGGATTGGGTTAAATTTGAGCCGTCGCTTGCACAGACTTATGCGCCAAGTGAAAATGGTTCGTCTCGAAAGGGCAGAGTCTCCCGATTGGTTACCACCAGGCCCACGTCATCCAGCTGCCTTATACGAGGCTCAAGCTGCTGCTGCTGCTGCAGCCTCCACTGGGAAGACCCGGAGCTGCGCGCACACGGCCCTGCCCTATGTGAAAGGAAATACAGCAGTGATTTAGATTTGAAAGAAAGAAGCATAAATGCAGAGGGGCATGGTTTGGGTTATTTCTGTGATCCTCTGGACCAATGTCTCTTAGGTGTTTTATCATTTCATTATATTGTGTGAGACTGATGGCCCTGTTCAGTGGCATTAAGCGAATGCACCAGTAGACCTCTTCACTCTCCTTTTTTCAGCGGAAAAAATGGAAACCTCAGGGTGAGCCTCAGTGAGGAGATCCACTCCGGACGGGCAGCCTGTAAATGATCTTTATGTCTCGGACAAATCACCAGCAGACGATATTATCTATTGCAGTATTGTAACAATGAATAAACAACTAAATGCAGACGTTATTTCATTGAATCAGATACGAATCAAATAACCACATTTTCATAAAGGCCTCATGAAAATATAACATTTGGTATTTTGGAATATCCTGTACTGACTTTCACTGGCTTTCTTTAACACTGGCTACACAGCTGTATGGCATGTATTTATTTTCAAGAACTGCTAATGAATTTTCACTATATCTGCAATAGATAGAGATAGATTTTTAGTGTCTTGCATACAAGGATGCCTTCAACATTTTTTTTTCATGTCCTCTTTAAATTATGTCTATGATGAGGCTTTTTACAGACAAAACATGATGAGAAATTTCTCACTTTTTTCCCACTGTTTATTTTTCTGATCGTTCCTTACCAACGCAGGGGGGTCTAAGGACAGCGATGATCCAGGAAATAAGGAAATGTACAACATTTAAGGACAGCAGTAATCCCTCTCCAAGGACCAATGGTTCCCAATATAATTGCATTTTTGTGTTCGAACTGTCTGATTATCTTTTATTGAGGACTTTATAAAGTCCTCCGAGATGACTGCAATTGGGATTTAGGGCAATACAAAAATTATCTGAAATTAACTGAAAACGCAACATGTCTCTTTGAATTTAGCAACGTTCGCTTTCACGGCGGTATTCTGAGCGCGGTCACGCCAGGGCAGGCATCAGTGCGCAGCTCCAGTCGTGCAGTTTTCCCATGGCGTGTGAAGTTAACCCATCTTACCAACCGCAGCCCATTCACACAGACGCCTCACGCACGCGCACCCATGTTTTTTGACCCAAAGCCTCAAATGAAATTAAACGCAGTTTACAATGCGTTAGATTTTCCTAATTCCCCATAATCACACTTGAATGCATTGGTTTGAGGTTTTGTTAGAGGCCTTTTTTTAAATTCAAAACATCCCCGCGTTTTGAACGAACATGAATACAGTACAGAGACTTGCTCCAACAACGATTACAAAATAACACTAACATATTCAAAAGGCTCCAAATTCTTGAGAAAAATGAACAGTGTTTGCCGTTAAAACTGATATTAAAATGGGAAAAAATAATTAAAGTCTCCCCTTTGATCATCGAGTATTTTACAGTTATTACATTTTTTAATTTCCTGATGAATAATACACATTATTGTTTAGCATATGTTAAAATTCTGAAAAATTGACGGTTATAGAATAGACGAATATCTCAGTAGAAATCAATTTGAGCTTAAAATGGTTTAAATGTCTTTTTATAATTATTATTATTATTTTTGCTGCATGAATAACAACGCAGCAGCGAGCCTGTGTCACGCATGCGCATACTGATAGCCTCTGGAGGTACAATAGGTTCTGTTCGCAGACAGAAGGGGATACGGGACGGACTGACAGCCTTTATCCATGTGTAACACGAGACCGCCTGATATGTGCCAATTATATACGCTCTACAGAAAACGTAAAAACACAAGACCAAACGCTTAATGATGTTGCAAATGTTACCAACACGATTCTGATTGCAGTGAGCTTCACAGTTACTGTAGTCTGAGGATTTCCAACGCATTTTGAATACGCTGTGATGGTACCATTTAATTGTCACTTAATGTGCTATATACAACAAGAATGAGTTTGTTTGTTAAGCTCGATATTGTAATACAACACTTATGTATAAAGACATATTATTAGGCTATTAAACAATCATATAGTGCCAAGAGTGAAGATACAATCATTCAGTTTATGCACAGTCGCTGAAAAGATCAAGGCAGCTCAAACTAGAGCAGCGGTCCTCCTGTGGACTCACCACCTGCAGGAGGATCAGTGAGGGGCTGTGTACTGGGTGTACTGGGTGCAGCTCTGACTGCCACCCCCCGACCCAGAAATGGATTAAGGGGAAGAAAATGAATGAAGGGAGTCATGCACAGCTAAACAGTACTGTTTTAATCTGGATTACTCATCTATCCTTTTACTGCCAAATTGTCAATAACACAGTCATTCACAAGTTTCCTCACCAGTTAACCAATAACCTTATAACATACGTTTTGATCTGTTTGCACTATAGTTCTAATGATGTTACGCTGCTGATATCTAGCACTGTCCGCAAATGAACACGATAAGTTTCCGATACTTTTATTATACCGATCAAACCCTCGCGTGATTAGGACCAATTGTTCAATAATGATTATTGTCTGGTTTTGTAAAAAGTGGATATAGCATAATTTACTGCCTAATTACAGTCGCTCCAATTATCCTCTTAACAAAAGCCTTTCTGTAATCGCAGCGTTTAGTTTCAAATCCCCGTTTTCTTCGCTTTACCTCGCTATTATTATCATCATTATTTACAGTGTGGGGATTATTTAAAAGGCGTGTAGGGCGAGCTCCCGTTGATCAGCTCTATGTTCGGGCTGCGACATGAGCAGAGGGGACGCGGAGCAGCCCGGTGGACCAGATGGATGCCTTTTTACGCACACTTCAAGACATTTTTCCGTGAGAGTGGATTTCTTTTCACGCATGCAATAAGCGACAAAAAGAAAAGAAAAGACATGTAAGTCCGAAAAAAAACAAATCTATCTATCTTTTTTCCCTATTTGACTGTTGAGTGTCCAGAACTCTGAAATACATGATGTGTTTCCATCTTCATCTACATCTACATTCCTTTGTAAATGTACTTCTTGAATCTATTTGCTTTGGTTCTCAAATACAATGACATGTAACCTAAAATAAAACAATGGATGTCTGCGGCTTGCCTAAATACCAAACTTCAACCAACTTGTTTAGCTATTTCTAATATGAAGGACACGTTTTGCAGTTCTCCACTTCTCCATACACTCGGAAACACGATCCTACTGCCGAGCTGTCTTTTTTGGAGGTGGCAATTGTGCAGGAGTGGATTCTAAGCGCGCCGTGGCTAATTCCAAGGCCTAAGATGTGTGTGTGTGTGTGTGTGTGCGTGCGTGTGTGGGTGCGTGTGTGTGCGTGTGCGTGCGTGTGTGTATGTGCTTGTTTTTGTGTTTTATAATTTAATATATTAATAATCTGTCCATTGTTTACACTTCGGAATAAAACACATATTTTATTGAGTCACAAATAAACACATTCCTCCATTTCCAATAATATGATCAATGCACTTTATACCATTTTGATCATTAACTCTCCATTATGTCATATACTTTCCTATCTGACATTATTTAAACAGAAGGTAGGAGAGTTACAATAATATAGAAAATAAATTGTACATTTCTTCCGCAAAATAAAAATCAATACAATTCTAAATTAGGATATATGTCTTTGTTGCTTGTGTCTATTTGTTCATTAGAGCAAAAACATAACTCTTCATTTTGAATTAAGAAAACAGCTTTTCTAATACATGAAGTCGCATGAAGTTATTCATTCATTTTCTACCCCCTTTATTCGTTCATTTCTGATTATTATACTTTTAACCGTATAATATTCCGAGTAATTCATCTTTATCTCCACCGCTGTCAGACTGTACAATAAGTCACTTTAAGTCACTTGCATTAGGACTGAAAAACCTGCACTACTTTTGACACTGTTTCTTGATTGCCACTTTTTATTGTACATAATATATCCTGCATTTAATGTCCTGCATTTAACGTCCTGCATTTCTTTCTTTTGCACAATCCTGGGTGTTTTATGCCAGATGTGACATGTACATTTCTCCTGTGTGAGATCATTATAGTCTATCTTTTCTTATCTTATCTTGCAGGCGACGTATATACGACACGTGCATGCATCATTTTGAAATATCCGCAACTCAGTTTGACATGAGGTACTCCCCAAACCAAAGGTCTATGCTCAACTGCATTTTGGACATTTGGACAAAACATTTTTTTTTTGGTGTAATAATCGAGTAATGGTAATATTTGCTGAAGGTATAATATAATATGTGTCATTCATGCGTCCTGGCCTGTTCAGTTTAAGGCTGGCCACGACAGACTGATACTGACACGTTATAACTAACACGTTCCTTGCAGATGCAGGGTCTTATTTGTGGACATTGTGGATATTGGTCATCCTGTGTAAGTGTTTGTTATTACTGCATTTGAATGGTTTAGTTTTCTAGTCTGTTGTTGGTGAATCGACAACTTTGTGAAGCCCTCCAGACGCCTGCTGTTGTGATAGGGCCATACAAAAATAAATTTAAATTTAAATTTAAAAAAACGAACGTCTTGAATCTCTTTCTTATGCGATAAGAAAGAGAATTATAAAATGGTTGAGTTGGCATCATC